CCACCAAAACCACACTACTTGTGGGTTCTCAGATCATTCTTTCAGCTTCTAAGCATTTCTTCCTGCTCCTCTGCCCAGGAAACTCTCTCCTTAGAGTCCCTGTCCCCTTCCGGCAGGTTTAACCAGGTAGCATCTCCCACCACCCCGCCCCTCCAGCCAGAGTTAATGATGGCTCTTGTCATTCTGTTTCCACTTCTCTTGGGAATGTTCATTCTGGCTCACTGACATGCAGGGAAACCAATTTGTTTACATTCTTCTCCACCATCCTCTCTGTCAAGAGACCTGCAACCCAAGGACCAGTCCACATACCTCCCTCATCACTGCTCCTAACAAAGGTGTGTCAATCATGTCTTAAAAATGCCTCCTGAGATATGCCTCTCAATGACACTGTACACACATGGTGCCTCCTCAGATCCTAAGCCAGCCTTCTCCCATTTGTCCATCATGTTCATGAGATAGTTTCTGAATCCAAGCAGCCAGGCCCTGCCTGTGGTCCAAGCTCCCTTTGCAGGCTCTAAGGATGCAATTCTACAGACTCACTTGAGGCCCCTCCCTGTGCGTCTGGCCAGCCCAGGCCTGCAGTTCCCAAATCAGCCACACTCCCATCAACTCTAGCTTCTGGGTGTCTTTCCTATAGCATGCATTTCTCTTCTGCCCCTGTTCTGATTTCTGAACTTTGACTCAACATTCAAGTTTCTGCTCAAAGTCATTTCCTAGGAGTCAGACCCTCCTCAGAGTGTCAGGGGCTGTCCTCTGCCCCCCAAGAGCCCATGGCACAGACAGGGGTAACGAGGCTGACTGTATCTTGTACTGGACTGGAAAAGCCTGGAGGCAGGTCCCCAGCATCAAGTAGGTGGCTCACAAAGGCTCACTGACTGGACTAATGGATGATTAGCTGAGGAATATCATGGACTCAAAGTGGAATTCTCTTTCTTTATCAACCGTAATCATTCGGTCGTTTACAATTCAATGACACTTAACATGGTGTCTTTTTCTTTCTATATCTTCTCTCTGGGAAAATATTCAGAACAGTAAGAAATCTAAATTTCCCCACTGACACATATGGGTATCCCAGGCCACTGGGTGTATATTTTCTTTCCAGGTTCTTTTGGGCATCCACAGTCATGGCCCTCTTTAGCAATAATCAGCAGCTTGGCCTCAAGAGAAAGATGATGGTCTGGTTCTCTCTTCGGTAACATGATGCTGAGAAGGGGACCCAGTTCATGGGCACTATGGGGTAAAATGAACGTGTCTGCAAAGTGTCTGATACCTGGAAGGGCCCTAGACCCCTCCACCATCACCACTGCTAGAGAGTCTGTTGCTGTTGTTGTTATGTGCCGTGGAGTCAGACCTGACTCACAGTGACCCCTCCTTAGGCTTCCAAGGTGGTATCACTATAGAAGTAGATTGCCCAACCTTCCTTCTGACTAGACAGTCTGTTGTTGTTGCTGTTATTTGCCATCGAGTCGGCCCCGACTCATAACGACCCCTCCTTGGGTTTCCGAGGCAGTATCACTACGGGAAGTAGGATTGCCCAACCTTCCTTCCGAGGAGTGGCTGGTGGGTTTGAACCACCAGCCTTCTGGTTAGCAGTCAAGTGCCTTAGGCACTATGTTACCAGAGCTCCTACTAGACAGTCTAGGAGATCACAATTAACCCAGGACCTACTATTGTAAGGGCTATACCACCAGTGTCTCAAACTTTCCTTGGCCGTGCCTAGGGCCTGCTCTCTGCCAGAGGTGGGTTCTCTGTAAGCCTCAGGCTGTAGGGTTGGGGATCCCTGTCCCACACAGGGCTGGCTTTTTGGTGCTGGGGAGGCAGACATGCCACCATAGACACCTTGCTTGGTCGGCTTTGTCCTCTGCCTCCTGGTTGTCCAAGGGACAGCTTGACACAGTGAGTCTGTGTGAAGCTTGGAAAAAACACCATCTCACGAGGAGGGATCTACTTGGCCCTGCCTCCCTCACTCCTTACCTGTGTGGGGCTCTCTCAGTATCTGAGCACTGCTGTCATCCTGCAGAGGTGTGCTCACATCTTCTAAGGGGCACAGAGACCCAGCCAGAGGGGCTCTGGGTCCCAGGCAGCTTGGATGCTGACTCTCTGTGGGCCCAGAGAGGGCGCTAGACTGACAGGCATCTTTTAGAGAGCTATCTCCCTCCCGAAGGCAATCTTTAACGTGCTTCTGTTCCACTGGGGGAGCAGACAGAGTCATATGTGGCTCTCCTTGTTGCTTCTTGCTGCTTCCAGAAAATACTTCTGTTTCTACTAAAAATAAAATGAGAGTTGTGCTCAAAATATCTGCCAAGTCCCAATTCTAATGCACTAACATCTACCACCCACATAAGGCTCTCTGAGAGCCAGGATGAATGGGGATGCAATGCCAGAGGTCACTGGAGAGATTGGTGGCCAACATCCTAGACTATCTCATAGCCTTCCACGTGCTATCACCACTCCTGCCAAGACTCTGGGAAGTTCAGTCAGGAGCACCATGACACACCTGGCTCTCATACTGTGGCTCTAAGAGATGGTACTCACTGGTCTCTACTTTCTCTATACAGGTGACAGGGAGTGTGGTTTAGCACATAGATTCTGGGTCCAGACTAACTGGGTTCAAAGCTCACCTCTGTCACTTATAAGCTGTCTGACCTCATCTGTAAAATTTATCCCACTTACAAGATCAAAGGGGGTCACTCAGTTAAAGGGGGCTAGTGATTGTTATTACAGAAACATGTGGGGACAGAAACTGTAGCGATGCCAAATAATGTCCTATGGCAAGTACAGAGATAGGAACTACTTCACAGGGTCAACAGGCCCCTGAACAGGACTGCGCTGGCCTGGGTGCTTGCTGCCACCCTGCTGTATCAGAAGCCTGGGAACAGGGACTATCTCTTGTCCATCGACAGGAGACCAGTGAAGTGAATGACATCCATGCTTTGCAGCAGGTAGAAAGGCTGAGGTCAGTGCCCTTGTATGGATACAGCATGAGTTCCAAGACACTCATTAAGTGAACAAAGCAAAAATTAGGACAGCGCGTCAGGCCCACTTCCTCAGGAAATGTTCGTATGTGCCCTGTCTCTGGAAGGATGGGGCAGTAGCTGGGAACAGGTGGGCCTTGAGAGGGAGCAATGCAGAACCAGGAACTGGGAGTGGAAGAGACTTTCTTTCCACTGTTGACCTCTTTATCCTATTTTTTTTGGTTTTGACTCCCTTCCCCTCTGGAATCCTCTATAAATAATACATATAATAAGAGTTTTGTCGATGCTCTTGTTGTTTAATAAGCCAGTGGCTATTCCCTAGGTGCCACTTCTTCCCCCACCCCCACTAGGCTGACTGCACCAAGGGAGGGGCCCAGGGGAAGACCTCGGGGAGAGAGCCACTCCCGATAATGGGAAGCATCACTGTTTTCCTGTACGTTGGAGCGGGAACATGTTGGGAACCTTGGAACACTAAAGGTTCTTGAAAAGGACTGCTGTATTTTCCCCAAATGTCTTCTGCCTAGAAGGAGAGGAGCCTGTGACTAGCTAGTACGAACTGTGACAGCGACCTTCCCAGCACCATCTTAGCTGCACTTCAGATACTCTGTGTACCCGGCCAGTGAGAAGAGGCTGATCTAGGTAAGGTGGGCAGAACCCAGGAAGAGCACAGGCTTTGGGCTCAGAGGGTCCCTTCGTGTGGGGTCTTGGGCAAAGTGACTCAGTCTTCACAGCCATCAGTTTCCTGACTGCCCCACAGGGTAAACCCAGTTCTCCCCATAAATAAATACATAATGTCGGCGAAACACCTACTGGGTCCCAGTGTTTGGTACACAGAAGGCACTAAAAGGAAATGGCAGTTTTTATTCAACATTGTCACAGCTGGAGAGGAGATATGTCCACCTATCATAAAGTCGGGCTTTGAGATTTGGTACAGAAAGTCACTCCAAACTTTCATTTGAAAAATAATCAATTCTGTTTAAGTATAAAATATTGCAGGCAGAATATATCCTAAAATGGTCATTCCCCTCTACCTTGCTTCCTTTAACTAGGAGCTCTGGTGGCGCAGTGCAATCAAAAACCAAATTAATTATCAGCGATGATAGTATATAGTTATCTCAGTGTTAGGTTCTTAAATTAATGTGTTAACTGAAGTAGACTATTTGACATAGGCATGTGTGTTTGGCTGCAGAGAAGCTCGAAGTCTCACACTTCTGGGCCACCTGATCTTGGCACATGTTGTCCGTGAGATGATGAGGCCATCACATGTCTGCTGACCATCTCCCCATGTCCGTCTGCTCCACTGGTGAGCTCATTCATTCCCATGAATCACAACTCCCAAATTCATAGCTTCAGCACAGACCTCCCTCCCAATGTCCGGAGTGTGTATGCAACTGCCCAATCTATACAGTTCTACTTAGATCTCTCACATTGATCTCCCACTTGGCACATCTAAAACCATACTCCCAACCCTGCCCATGAGATCTGTCACACCGGCAGCCTTTCCTATCTCTGTGCTAATGCCACCTTCCGGCTTCTTAGGCCAAATGTTTGAAGTCCTCTTTGAGTCTTCTTTTTCTCTACACATCACATCCAATCTCTCAGTGATTTGGTTGGTTCTACCTTCAAAGTATTTCCAGAACCCAACAATTCCCCACTGCCCACCCTATTATTATCATGGTCTAAGCCTCTACCACTTGCCTGCTCCCCACTTCTCTCCTTACCTGCCCCACTTCCCAATCTACTCTCGACCCAGCCAGAGAGACCTTGTCAAAAACAAGTCAGACCCTGTCCTCCTCTGCTCAAACCCTGCAGTGGCTCCAGCTCAGGCACTGTCAAAGCCAAAGCCCACACGATGGCCCACGAGGTCCCATGGGATCTGGAGGCCCATGCTCTCTAATCTCTTCACTTGCTCGTCTCTGCTGGCTCTTCTCTGGTCACAGGGCTCCTTGGTGCTTCCCAAACAGCCCAAGCACACTCCTGCCTCAGGGCCTTTGCACTGACTGTTCTCTGAGCCTGGAACAATCTTCACCCCCACATGGCCTTGGCTAACTCCATTCATCACCTCTCCTTAGTGCAGCTCTCTCTTCTCTAATGAAATCTATCATGGATATGCAGTATTTAATTCGTATTTAATGATGCAATTACACAGTAAATTAAATTTGATATTGAAATCCCCCAGCCCACCAGCATCCAGCCTGCCTAACCTGCCTGACTTGCTTCCTCCATAGGCCGTATCTGTCTCCTTCTAGCGTCCTTTCTCAAGCACTTGCCTCCCCGCAGTGGACCATCAGCTCCAGGAGAGTAGGGACCTTTATGTGATTCAGTGATGCACCGAGCACAGTGCCTGACACATGAGAGACTCTGACCAAGGGCACCGACTGAGAAGACAGATGGAGAGTGAAGAATTGGTCTGAAGACGTCAGTGTGGTACCAGGACACACACAGGCAAGCTCGGGGATCAGAAGCACGTGGGTTGAAGACGAGGAAGGCTCTCTGCAGGAGCCATGCGGGATGCCAGTCCTCTGGGCCCTGGACATGGCCTCAGACCTTGCTGTGGAGGGGAGAGGAGCAGGTTCTTCTGCGTGATGTTTGCCAACCAGTGGGGCCAGAGTCGCTGAGGAGGAAGGAAGTAGGGCAGTACCAGCAGGCCCTCAGGAAGGGCACCGCTTCTCCAGCAGTGTGGCTTACTGTTTTCCTTTCAAAGGAAAGGAAAAGCCTCACACTTCCTCCAACTACAATACATGGGAGACGAAAGAAAAGCCCACAGAAATAGCCTGTGGTCCACTGAGAAACAGTCAAGAGAAAAACAAAGAACGAGCCTTTCACATGGAAGACTGGTGGGAATTTTCTCTGCTTCCTTACTGGTTCCAGGTTAAAGCTTTGTTTCCTGCGGAAACGGGTCCCCATCTGGTAATGCTGCATCCCACGCCATCCAGACCTTTGTCTGACATCAGCCAGTAATCATTCCAGCATCTTTCTGCTAACTTTCTGTATTTGCCCAGCAATGTGGCAGGAGGAAGGCGTCTGGAAGAGGTGGGAGCACAGGCAAGTAAACGGGATAAGCAGCCCCCAGCAGAAAGGAGGGAGGAGAGGGCTGTGTGGGTTCAGCTTTACCCCCACGCCCCTGAAGACAATCCCCGCAGCGGTGGCAGAGCTGGCACTGCCAGAAACAGAAGCCCGGGGAGCATCGAGGGGAACAGCCAACCAAACGCCAGACAGCCAGGATGAGGGGGTGTCCAAAGGAAGCCCACGCCGAGCGAGCCCCTTCCTCCCAGGAAACCAGACTTCCTGCCAACTCCAGCCCTTTGTAGCCGGCTGCTTCTGCAGTCCACGCCAACCGTTAGAACCTTCTCTCCACAAAAGAGGAAGACCTGGGGGCAGGGACGATGGGCAAGAAAAATGACAGAAGCTGCCGATCTGTGAAAAGACCCTCTCCTTTCGGAAGCCCGGAGCAGATGGCAGGGGAATGAAGGACTGGTCGGAAGCAAGTGGTGTGAGGACACAGACAGGTGAGCCTGGGGATCAGAAGCACTTTGTGTATTCAGGAAAAAAGGCAAAAGGCAACGTGTGCATCGTCCCATTAGGGTCAGATTCCAAGACAACACACGGAGAACTGCGCAGGCACTTCTCATGTACAGTCAAGCTCATCTGTGCATCTGAGGATAGAGAATACACAGAAAAGACACCAGGTAACCAGCCAGTGCTGTTTTTCCCATTATGTCATCCTTGTAGAGGCCTTCGGGCTGATGAACAAGTCTCAAAGCACAACAATTATTGGAAGGCAGAAATAAAGCTCATACAGAC